CTACCAGCTATAGTCCAAGGTGGTGGAGTTAGACTTAAGTCTTTCTGGAGAGGCAGCCAAACAATTTCTGGGACCACCATTACAGGGACCTGCCCACAGAGGTGCTAGACTTTCTCACCAAATATAATTTGGCATACCTAAATATTCCTGATTGTGCCACCTAATTAAAGTTTATGTATAGAGAAACACTCTTCTTATTACATTTTTTAGTTTTCCTTTTTCTGTATTAGTGACCTTTGAAACAATAAAATGAATAAAAACTTTGAAAGGCTTTCTAAAGGTATCGTATGCATTTCTGTTTAAATTGTCATTAAAACAACATGTTTTCAACTAACAATTTTAAGGAAAAATGAAAAAAAAAAGTTGTGTTTTTATGTGTGAGAGAAAATAACTTGAAGAAATAAGCTTAAATCAAAACTAACAATGAACATTAAAACCATAAAAAAAAATCTTGAGATATAGTTAAGTCAGAAAATACTTATTGCTATCTCCTCTCATTTAATCAAAATAAAGTCAAAATTAAGAATGCCATTGAAAGCCTGACACTCACATGCTAACCCAATCAGAACAAACAAATAAGATATAAACTGAGAAGATTTAATCCTCTTCAAGGGTGAATGTACCGTCCAGCTCAGAGCTTCAAAGCCGCACGTAAGATAAGACGGAAGAAGTGGAGACAGTAAGGAGGAAGAAATAGAGTAAGACATAAAAACACAGTAAGTGGGAGAAAGCAGCGTGACTCATGTTACTAAGGACAGCTTGTCCAGCAGCTATTAGGGCATCTTGGATTAGCTAAGTCACACACATAGTTTCCTGTTGAAGTCACACGCATGTGCGCACACTCTCTTACACAATGCTGTGATGCTGTAGTACACCTTTTAAAAAACAACAAAGACAAAAACATCACCAACGCCAATATGATTTATTTAATGGAGTCAAGGCTTATATTAAAAAAAACATCTTATCTGTAGTGAACTTCGCAGCCAACCTTGAGTTAAACAATAATACACCAAAACTATTAGATTAAATAAAATTAGTGTTTCCTGGTTGGACTTTACTGCTTCAGGGTACGACTGAGCACGGCCTATTTTGATAGAAAGAGGTACCTCAGCTGTTTAGATTTTAAATTAACAGGAAAATAAATATATTATGATCAAATAAGTTTAATAGTTCAAAGAAACCACAATCTTAGGCTACCCTCAAGTCAACTCTCACTACAAAAAGAGATTTAGTCTCAGCTCTCTCTTTCTGCCTCCGGTACATGACAAAAATGACTTCTAAAGTTCTGACTAGTCACTTCAGGAGACAAGCGTCAGCTGAATGCCTCGTATGTACAATGTAAAAACGCAATAACTACAATGACAAATTGTTGCAGACTGCACAAATTTACTAGCTCACAAAAACTCAACTGGATATAATGTTTCTCAAATGTTGGCAAACTTGATAAAGCAAAGAGACATTTAGAGACCTATAAACTTTAAGCTATCCCAGCTGCCACGGGACAACGACCGGGGTACGCCCTGGACAGATCGCCAATCTATCACTGAAAGACAGACAACCATTCACCATCAATTAGACTAACACGCAATTCTTTTATGAGAAGAAAGACGATCTATTCTTTTTGTATTTTTCTTTATATTTTAAGCAAAAATGCCAGTCACTTACACAAAACTAAACACTTGAAAGAAAACGAATATTGATTTTATTTTTAAAACTCCAACTTTTTTCCCTTTTTTTGCTTTTGAAACTTTAGATCTGCGCATAAACTGAGCCTGAGCTTGGTAACTGATGAAAAGAAACAAGGAAGATACCAATCAGTTGTATCTCTGGTAATAATTAAAATACTAAAGCCGCTGGGACCTCAGTGTTTATATTTGCAGTATTAAATAAAGCATGAAAAAAAATCATTGCAACTCATTCCTTCCTATTTAATGTAATAGTCCAAATCAAATTAGTCTACTGTCCCCAGGCATCCAAAACCACGAGATGGTTAAAGGACCTGTAATGTCAGCCGTGAAACAATTTCAAACAAAGTGCGATAGTCAAGCAGACTCACTTGATGACGATACAGGTTACTGCAGAATGAGCAGCAGGATATTACAATGACAGTCATAACTGCAATCCTACAAAATTATCAGAGAGTTACATCATTATCAAACCAAGAATATGCCTCCAAAGACAAAGAGTGCATTGTTGCTATTTTTTAACCCAGCAGCACTGATTTCTCTTTAGTATCAAAGTCCTATGGTCCCTGTGAGCCACTGGGGCAGTTAAGGAAATGTCGTTAAACTAACGACACCCTCTACAAACACATGCGTGCACATACACACTCACAAAAGAAAAACCAAAAGCACACATACATACCAAGAAAAAAAAAAGGTGGGGAGAAATTTGCATCTCTACAATAGTAACCAACACACCTCTGTGTGTTTCCTCTCGTCTTGAGTTCATGATGAATGATGAGCATTGCTGCACAACACATGCAGATTCACTTAAGAGACACCCATGATCCATGAAACTATAGCGAGGCCACCATCTGCAGCTGGTGATATAAGCCCACAAATTCTGTGAAAACTGGAGTGGGCACCAGACAAAGCGCACAACAAATAGTGGTCACTGTGAAGATTGTTGTGGTTGTACGAATGCTTAATGAGCATATCCCCACACACATTAACCAGCATGAGCTACGCTATTTTAAAACCACTTGATTAATCAAAAAGTAGTTTCCACTGGGTGTCACCATTAAAGCTGCAGCTGAACATTAAATGTGCGGTTGGCAGCTATTACCTAATAATAGCATTGCGCTTCTGTTTACCTTCGGTCGTGCATTAGCTTAATAAATATCTGTGATTAGGCGAGCAGTGCTGGGATTACTGCTGATGCAGTGACTGGCGGGATAATATCGCCACAGATTAACTCGAGGGTTCAGGCTAACAAGTACTGAGGGAAATCTCACCGAATCTATCAGCTGAACAGAAAGTCCATTAGCCAAATGAAAATAAAACACTGCATCTGGTGCTAATTCACAGCTATTCACTGAATAACAGCAGAGTAGCGAGGAATAAGACGGTGGTGATGGTTATAGCATGAGTAGTAGTGGCAGCTTTCCTTGTTAACATCCTCAACCCTCATGCTGAAGGCATGGAGTCGAGTGGCTAGAAATTCTTTATATCATTATTTTCTATTTTATTTTTTAAATGAGAAACAGTGCTTGTAGTCAAGGAAAAATATGATGAAACCAAATGTGGTAGAACACTAATAAAAATATAGTTTTAAAAGTATTTAATTTAAACCTATTTCTTTAATAAAGAAATCAAAAGGCAGGAAGCTTAACAGTGCTTTTGTCTATTAGTTTTTGAGAGCTTTTCCCAGCTCAAAATGGGCCTTTGTAGGTTTACAAAGTGTCTTTGTTAACATACTTATCATAAATCTATGCATTTTTCTGTAATTTGGGTCCAAAAATATGGATTTTAATAACAAAAACCCACTTAAATTAACTGCTAACAAAATATTTTTATTATGATCCTGAAGATTTTTCCTTGGGGGAAGGCCAAAGACTCTTTGGGGGACAGTCAAGATTTGCTGGAAAAACCCAGAGTATATATAGTGTAGCTAAGAATTCCTTAATGGGCAAGACTTTGGTGATAGTGGTGAACGGGGAAAAAAAAAACTAACTCAGGGTGGGCAGTCAACCTGGCACAACCAGTTATGGCTGGAGAGAGTGGAGAGGAAGAAAAAAAAAGAGGAATAAACAGTCAACACTAAACAGGAGTCAGATAAAAAAAACAACAACAACTCTGTAGTCTGCACAGAGTTCAGATGCACGACCGCCTTTCTGGGAATAACTGAGAAAAATGGCGTGCCTAACCTGCTAATATTAAGGGGCTCTACAAGCATCGTTTGCCCAGTGAAATAATCACAGTGGCTGGAAGGTTTGGGGACTCAAGACAGTGAGATGACATTTAATTTCCTGCCATCCTTCCACCCCTTGCAGGGTTTTGGTCTTCCCTCAAAGAAAAACCACATGGGTCATAAAAATCTAATCTCAACCAGTTTGTTTTTCCAATGTGAGGTTTAATTTACTCAAG